TGGGTGAAGGCAGCACGCAGGGCGGGAAGGCCGCCGGTGGTGCAAAGGCAGGCTTGGGAGGGGAGGAGGTGGAAACTCGGGAGCATGCAAGCGACATTGGAAGAGGAAAGCCTTCAGTCCACTTAAACTCCTTCCTCTCCATCAGTCTGCTCCTAGTTGTAATCCACGTTAAATACGATCGCTGGAGGGAGAAGGGTAGGGGGCAGGGCTGCTCCAGGAAGGAGAGCAGACGGGGAGCTGTGGGCAGCCTCAGCGCTGCCGGCGCCCTCGCCGACAGGGTGCAGTCGCACGCAGCTTGAGCGCGGCAGGCAGAGCCGGATGGTGACAGCAAGGCTCGTCGGCAGTCCCAGGAAAGGCGAGCTATGAGCCAGGGCTAGGATCCACAGGAGGAATCCGTTCTGGAGCAAAGGGAGGCGGTGGCAGAGGAAGCACTGGGGTAAAAGTAACGCTGTGGGCCTAAAGGGGCTGTCTGCGAGATGGAGGCAGAGAGGGAATTGGGGGTAAGCTTACTTACAACATAAGTTTGAAGGGCACCAAGGAGGTAAGGTTAGAGGTAAGACTTGAAACAGGTACACCTACAAAATAGGACAGTCAAGTCCTGAAGACCCAGGCCTGAGCTTAAATGGAGCTCCTGGACCTATGGGCAAAGGGTGGGTGTGGAAGCCCCAGGTGAGGCTGATCAGGACAAGCATGGCCTGTTAGTGTATTCAGGACCCTGATGAGGAGAAGATTTCATTCAGCTGTTGTATATTGCCATGGCTTTAAATTAGTCATTTCTCGATGGAAGTTTTTTCTTGTGTGAAACTGAAGGTTTGCTCTGATGAATGCAGTGCTCTGTTCTCCTTGCCTTTGTGATGGGGCCTTTTTTTGATTCTCTTCAATAGAGTGTACTGTAAAGCCTGCTGAGGGCAAAGGAAGAAGAGAGTCCTACACTGAAAATCTTGAGTTAGGGCTGCCAGGGTCTAACAAGCGGTACTAGGTAGGTAGCGTTATGTTCTTTACGTTTCCCCTACCTAGCCCATTGCTCTTAACAGGTCTCCCATTTGCAGTGCTGGGGAAATAAAAGCAGCTCATGTAGTGGTAGATTGTACTGTAAGATTCTGTTATTTGGTACAGGTGCTGTTGCCTGTAGTGTAGAAAAGGGATGTTCAGCTGAGGACTTGCTAAATACGTGTGCTTTGTTTTCATAGGGCCTGATCTGGCCTGCCCCTGTTATATGTGGAATAACTTGGGTCTGTGTTGCAGAAAGGAAACTGTTTCCTTTCCAATATTTCTCTCAGTTCTTGTAGCTTCTATCCACAGTAAGCTACAGCTGCAAGCTTCATCTGCAAAGCTCAGCACACGTTCTGTGCTTTCGTCTGCATCAGAAAGGACGAGATGCAGCCATTGCTGGTAAACTGTCCTTATTTTAAGTCCTGCTGTTTGAAGTAACTGCTGTGAGGAACTAGGGAAATTATTGGCTGTGTTTGCTTCGCTGGCCCAGTTTGCTTTTTGCCTGATTAGGAAGCATCTCCCTCTCTTGCCAGGCCTTTGCTAGTTAAGTCTGTTCCCAGATGCTGTGTGACTGCTTCTCTTCAGAGGTGTGTGTGGCTGTCTAGGTGTGTCCCCCTGTGTTGTGCCTGCAGCTCTCCACATGACCTGGCAGGGCAGTAACCACGCAAGGAGAGCCATTCTGCTCTTGTATTCCTTGAGGCAGTAGCGGGAGATCCTGGGATCTAAAAAGGAAGCAAATCCAACTGATTTATGCTACTGCTTGTGAATTCCTTTGCTCTCCTCACCTATTCCTTGTAGGACTTTTCAGTCCTTCCCCTTGGCTGGCATATCTCTTTTGTTAAGGCTGCAGGGAGAGCTATTCACCTCAGAAGAGAGCATTCCCGTGAGAGGTCTCTGCTCTT